AGAACAAACAAGAACAAGACAAAGTAAAGAATATAACACATGACAAAATGAGTTAAGGAAAAGAAACTTACGGAAAGATCTAGAAGATTAAACAGCAAGGTAACGACACAAACGTACCAAAAGGGTGCTTACACGTATCAACTGAAATGCAAAATACAAACAAAAGAGAACACGCAGAACGGAAGGCGTCGCAGGTGGGACACGCAACCAGTTGCTCTGTAGAACGGAGTGATCAGAAAAGACATGACGGGGCAGTGGCTGCAGTGAGAATAGTAGAAAGAATATAAAGGACGTCAGGAACGTACATAAGACAAAAAGCAATAACTTACGGAAATAACTGAGAAAGAACTCAAAGAAAAACGTTTAGAAAGAGACGAACGAAAGCAAGATGGCAACACATCGTACGCGGCAATGCTCCCTTTAAGGTTCGAAAGTGAATAATAATGAAACAGAATAAAGGCAAAAAACACCAAGTACAGATAACAAGCAACCTTTGACTACAGTGTAGAACAGAAAATATATAGCAAGATAGCGGTCGCAAGAAACAAGAATAAGCCGTCATGCGATGACATATATAGTGGAAAGTTTACGTTCCAGCCGCAAATAGTAATGAGAAAAAAGGCAAACCACAATCTACAGACTATGAAACTCTGGCGGAATCGAATTTGACATCACCGGAATCAAAACAGAAGCAAACAAAATGACAGCCGGAACAAAAGTAAAGGAAAACAAGCATGGAACAATGGGAAACCAATTTAGAAATAGAACACAACCGAAAATATGAGAAGCATAATCAAACAACCGCAAGTGCATACGAAAACACCGCGCGGAATGGCATATTTGAAATTGGAATCGTCTGCGACGGAAATCTCAAAACTGGTATTGAAACGGGCATCAAGATGTAAAATTTATTAACCGATTTGCATAGCGCTGTTTCTGATTGGACAATAGTTGCTCTGCCTTTCGCGTCACCCTCCTTTTGTGAGATGCGAGTAATTCATGGCAATAGCGAAACGCTGAGGTTGATAGGTAGGATTTAACACATTATTATACTGTACTGAGCAGCGGTAAATTATCGTACGCTGCGCATGAGTTCGCTGCCGTTTAATGTGCTTCATTAAGCTGAGCATATGAACGAATAATCTAAAATTTTTTAACTAATGCAGTTTGTAAACTATCCGTTTACAAAATTATAAATGCTTACAGCAATTTTAAAGTAAGCACTGAAATATGATTGTTAAACGGTTAGGGTATTAACCTACTTCGTCTAGGGAATCTCTTTTGTCCTGTGTACCTATTAATGCTTGTGTTTTAGCAGAATTTCCGGTACCGAATTACCCAACAACAGTTATAAAGACTAAGGGACGAGTGCAATGATGTATGTGCTCATTGACATTAATCGTGTTAGCAAGCTTTCTTTTAGACTTGATGTAGATGGTCTCGAAGTTTTGTTTCCATACGACTGCATTTATCCGGAACAGTACTGTTATATGTACGAGTTGAAGAAATGTCTGGATGCTACCGTAAGTTTTGTCATATCCTTCATTGTATTTTTAATAATTGCGTCCTACTTCTCAGGGTCATTGCGTTTTGGAAATGCCTTCAGGCACAGGCAAAACCGTTTCGCTGCTGTCTTTGATCGTAGCTTACATGCAAGAACATCCCGCACAGCTGGAGAAATTCATCTATTGTTCTCGCACTATCGCTGAAATTTCTAAAGTAGGCTCGAGTGATGCTTCTTTATCGTCACTTCTTCCCATTGCCGTGCCTCGTTATTTAATAGGTGGTGGAGGAACTGAGAACGTTGTACAAATGCTACGAGCAGCATAACGGTAAGCCATTAGCGATGATTTGCGTGGCTTTGAGTGCAAGAAAGAATCTGTGCATTCATCCCGAGGTTAGTAAGTGCAGAAATGGCAAAGTGGTGGATGGAAAATGCAGTACACTGACTTCAAGCTTCATTAGAGCGAAACGTGTGTATGATCCAGATATTCCTTGTTGTGACTATTTTGAGGTAAGTTTCCTATCGCTACCAATTCATTTAGGTAGTTTCTTTCGATGATCTGTTTTCATTTTTTCATTTGAAGCATCAATCCAGACTAATTTACATGATAACTCGCAACTTTTAGAATTTTTATAAGGATGGTTTGGAAAGCGTCCTTCCGTATGGGGTTTACAGTTTGGAAGATATGAAACAGTACGGCAGGACGAAGGGCTGGTGTCCCTACTTCGTTGCGCGTCATGCTCTTTTCAGAGCAAAAATTGCCGTTTATAGTTACCATTATCTTCTTGACCCGAAAATAGCTGAATTGATTTCCAAGGATCTTCCGAAGAAGACTGTCGTGGTTTTTGACGAGGCACACAATATTGGTTTGTCGTTTGCTTCGTTCACTGGCTTTTAGTTATATGACAGTATGTACTGTTTTTCATTTAAGATAACGTTTGCATCGAGTCAATGAGCATCACTCTGAACAAAAAACTTCTTGAAGAATGCGAGTGTAATTTGATTACTCTCAGAGAGTCGGTTTCACAGTAAGTCATCCAATGTTTGTTTTCGTGCATTGGCACGTGTCTTTCAGCATCAAAGAAGTGAATGTTAGTCAGCTGGAACATGAATATCAAATGCTTGTTGAAGGACTGAAAGAAGCGAACCGTCAGCGTGAAACCGATCAAATTTTGATGAATCCCGGTGAGCGCCGCATGAATTCGAACACGAAAAGCGATGATAATTCGCATCCAGTAGAGGCTATCAGTTGTTTAAATCAGTTGTGATTTTTTATGCTAAAAACGCATAAGCTAGACGCCCAAAAGCCGCAGAACTTAATGCTACGAGTACAGAAATAATTGATGTCCTTCTATCTGTTTCAGGAGACTCTGTGTTCAAAACTTTTTTTAGAAGCGAGTAAAAATATATTTTGAGGAAGGAGGTTTTACTTTTTTTACCATCATGATTGCCTGTAACTACAAAAATAGTTCTTAAAAGGAAAAAGTGAAACTATTCCGATTGATATGAAGCTTTTTTTAGAGCCATGTCCAAAGGCTCCCATTTCAACAGTCCTTCTGTTACTACATAGGACACGGCTGTTTTCACAGGTCAAATTATACTTTCACTCTCACTTTTTCAAATGACTGTTTGATTACAACTTAAAATAAAGTCATGCACAGGGGACTGATTTTCAATTTTTGACCTTTAATGACTTGTTTCTGTTATTACAGTTTCGATTATGATAGTGGGACGTTGTATTTTGTGATCGTCTTCTTCAGCTAGTTGCAATGTCAGATAATATTCACTTGGCGATGTCTGCTGCACTTTTCATGTAAGGCTTTTATAGCCGCATCATAACACTTCCTCTCTGAACGCAGATTTCCTCTATCTGGTTGCATACTGGCCTCCTGGTCAATGCCTCTCTACGGTTACCGCATGAGAAGCTTGCCGAGGGTGAAAATTTGCGTTCTAACAATTAATCTAATGGTGCCCACCTCTTTTTCCTACTTTTCGGACAGTATGGAGACATTCTTTATTTGATTCGGCTATTTAGCCCATCATATGTAGGAAAACCATTGCTTTTGTACGGTGTTCGATCATTGTTCTGAGTTTCTCGTTATAGCGTTGGTATTTATGCTGCTTACTAACAATGACCTTACCAAGCGAGTTTAGCGGCAGTTTTTGTAGTGAGATACCCCTTTCTCAACTCATATAATGCAAACTACTGCAAGCAGTGGAAGCAGGGGCGATCTTCCTGTTAAAATCAGATTCGGTGGTATCGTTGTTGGAGATGGTTGAAACAGGGTAGTTAAGCTGGTTGACCTTGACTTCTCTATCGCTGCACTTCCCTCTAGCACTTTCAACTCCATTTTGTCAGGCGAGTACTTTATAACTTTTAGCTTCTAGGCGTTAAAGAAGAGATCGACGTTCGTAGTGTTGCATTCCAAAACCACCAATTGCCGAAACCACCAAAACCACAACCTCCTGTTACTCATAAAGACAGCATTATCTGCTTTCTTCAGGTTCGCAAGATATTCAGCCAAATGTCTTAAACTGTGCCCTCCGTCTTTGCTCAAAACAAGAACGCACTGATGAAAGGACCGGCGATACCACGGCTGATCGTGTCTAGCATTCTGCTGGCGGACAGAAGGTTGCTTCTA